CCGGAGGGCAGGGGTTTGGGGAGGTGCTGCTCAGCCCACCCTGACCTCATCCCTCACCTTGGCAGGTTCTGTGGCCACCAGCTGCCACCCCCCCTGACCTCCTCACGACACGTCATGACCGTCCTGTTCGTGGCAGATGAGGGAGTAGCAGACAACGGGTTCTTTGCCACCTACCAAGCCCGCAATGCCACAGAGAGTAGGTAGCCAAGCAAGGGCACAGGATGCCCAGGGGGGCTGTGCCGTCACCATCCTTGGCGGTCTTCAAGGCCAGGCTGGATAAAACCCTGGAAAAAACTGCTCTTGCTCTATAGCTGACCCTGCCTGGAGTAGCAGGTTGGGCTACAGGCCCACAGGGGGCCTGAATTACCCTATAAGGCCATTGATCCTAGCTGTGGGAATGTGACCTGGAGAGGCTGACCTGCACAGGAGCACAATCCATCACCTGAAGGCTGCCCCTAAACAACCCAGGGAATTTGGGATCTCCCTAAGCCAGGCTGGTGACAGTCACCTCTCCAACCAACGAGAAGAGCAGAGACAGGGGTGGTGAGCAGGCTGGCTCCCAGCCATGCCCACGCCCTGCCACACTGGCCTCTGCCACCTTCCAGAGACGTGCAGCCCCGCAGAGTTCTCCTGCAGGAACGGCGAGTGCCGGGCGCTGGAGTCGGTGTGTGACGGCTGGCACGACTGTCCCGACGGCACCGACGAGCTCAACTGCACCGGGGTGTCCTACCCAGCCTTCGGTGAGTGCCACCCCTGGGTGCTCCACTCAGCACTCAGCCCCCTCCTGAGCCCCCCTGGGGCAGGGGACACGGTGCTGCAAGGACTGAAGCCCCCCGCCCCGTGGCAGGGTCTGTCTGCGAGCCCGTGCACGTGGAGATGTGCCTGGGGTTGGGCTACAACGCCACCTCCTTCCCCAACATCTGGCTGGCCATCCCGGACCAGGAGGGAGCTGCCGAGGTGCTGCAGGACTATCAGGTGAGCTGCCCGCGGGGCTGCCCCCGGGCTGCATTCCAGGCTCCCCACGGCATTCCCGGCATTCCCGGCTCACCGCCGCTCTCCCGCAGACGCTGATGGAGCTCCCGTGCTTCCAGCACCTCCGCCTGCTCATCTGCAGCCTCTTCGTGCCCAAGTGCACCCCGGACGGGGGGGTCCTGCAGCCCTGCCGGGCCGTGTGCCTGGCGGCAGAGCTGCGCTGCAAGCAGTCCCTCGGCCTCCTGGGCATCCTCTGGCCCATCAACTGCAACATCCTGCCCGACTCCAACGACCCCGTGGAGTGCTTCCAGCCCTGACCCCCCAAGAGAAGAGGAGCAGGGGATGAAGACACCCTCCCCACCCCAAATGTCCCTCCTGTCCTCCTCCTGGTGTGAATACCCAGCTGCTGGGGTGGCCCTCACCCGCAGCCCCCCTTGCCTGGCTCCTCACCTGCCCTGGGTCAGGCCCTCTGCCCACAGCTCCGAATCCCTCGTGAGCAGGTGACACATCCCACAGGGAAAGGCTTGGGCTGGAGGGGCTGTGCTGGGGGCACCAGGGAAAGGGCTAATGCTCCCCAAACGGAGCAAGGCCAGGCAGAGGCGAGCCAGGCTGCAGGAAGAAGAGCCCAGGGCTGCCTGTGTCCAGCAGCCCCAAAGCCAATGGAATAAACAGCTTCAGCAGCTGACAAACCCCCATGAAACAAGTGGCTCATTGGGGGAGGGTCTGTGTGTGGCTCCTGCCAGATCCTTGGGGAAAATGAGGCATGGGCCAAGGGAGGGAAGTCAGGGATGGAGTGGGGGATTTCAGCAGAAATGGAGGGCACAAGGGAGAAGGGACAGCTGTACCCTCATTGGGCTGGGGGCTTGCAAGGTCCCAGGGAGATGGATGGGTATTGGAGGGGGTCATTTTGGTGGCCTCATGGTGCAAAGAAGGGATCCTGCCTGAGCAAGAGCTGTGGCCTTGCTGGCTGAGCTGGCTGTGCTGGCTGGAGGCCACCCTGATGGCCACAGGCCTGGCAACACCCCACGGCCACAAACCAGCTCCCAGCTGGCCAAAAACAACAGTCCCTTCACACCTTGGGAGAGAGGAGCCAGGCGGCTCCCTGCCAGCACCCAGCCTGGCCCCGGGCACTGGGGTCAGGAAGGCTCAGCCAGCAATGCCACCACACTGCTGTGGGCACTGGAACAGGGAGGAGAGAGCCAGCAGTGCTTCCTGATGCCCCCACCCCTCCTGAGCATGTGGGGAAGTCCCCAGCCCGGCTGGGGTCACTGGGAGCAGGACACACCGGGGTCAGCCCCGCTCTGCCCTTGTACCCAGCACGGCACCACCATTCCCACATGGCTCAGGGGGCTCGAGCCCGCCTGGTTCCTTCATTCCCTGCATGTCCCACTGGCTGTGGGGCACAGGGACTTCCCCCAGCCACGGGACTGCCCCGCTGCCCGGCGTCTGACCGTGTCCCTTGGATGCACTCGGCTCTGGAACAAGTTAAAGGCAAGCTGGGAGTGCCCTCGAAAGCTTCCCCACGTGCTCCACGGTCCCCCGAGGGCCAGCCCTGCCTCCTGGCATGGCCACAGCACTGCTCTGCCTGTGCTTCCACCTGCCCTGCCCCCTCAGCCACCCCCTGGATGGCTCCTGCAGCTCCCCATGGATTCTCCCAGGGCTGGCACTGCCAGGCTGTGCATGCCCTGCCATCCCCCCTTGCCTCAGCTCTGCTGCCAGCAGCAGCCCTAAGGCTGCCAGTCAGGAGACCTTCACACTCCGAGGGCTCCCTCTTCCTCCCAGTCTTTGCTGGATTTCCCTCCCTCAGCCTCTCTGTTGTTCCCTTTCCCCCCGGTTGCCTGTTTTCCCTGTTTTCCCTCCCCTCCATCCTGCTGCCTGGATGCCCAGATGTGTTCAGTGGAGGCGATCTGCAGCCCGTGCCTCCCCTCCCTTGTCCAGGCTGTTTGCCTCGCTCTCCCTTCCCCCTGCTTACAACACTCCCGACACCATGGGATTATTTTTCTTTTTCCCCTTGTCTTGTAGCTTTTGGCTCCCAAGGCCCTTGATTTCCTTTGGAGTTTGGGAGGAGAGACGTGAGGAGGAGGGGGGGGTG